CAACACATTTAAAGTAAATAAATTGCTCAACTAAGATCACAGTTAACTCGTCATTGATCAACTAATTCAAGATTGAAGGTTTGATGTAATATTTTCATAGAGAAAAGTAAGTGTTTTAACTGGCAAATAGATCCTAAATATCTTGACAGAACATTTACAGCAGTCATATTTTATTTAAACATTTGGAAGAAACGAATACGTAAGTACATTCAGTCTTTCTGTAGAGTGTGAATCATGGTTTATTTATCAAGTTGTCATTAAAGTATGAAAGTGAAATTTTGTGTTTATACCCATAGTTTGTTAATAAAATGAAGGTCAACTAAACATCTATAGTAGATAATTCTAAAACACGTTTAACATCAATTGACTGCACATAATGTTTATCAGTAGTTTCTTTTTTGTATGTAAATGACAAGAGGTGTTACGATATAATATAATGTTTTCATTTTGTAATATAGGCCATAAATCATGCGAATGATCACTAACTGTTCACTGAAGTCATGTCAATGATTTGACAATGTCATTTCATAATGAATCATTCATGGCTATTTCATGTGTTGTTTAACGAAGATTTCTAAATGAACTATGAATTATTATAGTTAACATTGTGAAAATTGTCTACTACTTTCCTAGTTACATAATTGCTTACACTATAAATATTTCATTAAAATGTTACTACCAACTGTCAAAATAATTTAAAGTAGATAACATATAATTTCAGGAATAGAGATGATTTACCAAGTGTGTACTTCCAGTAGTTTTTACATCAAACTATGACTGATTTCAGTATTGTTTAAAAAGACAGAGTTCATAACCAAATTAAATTCACATTTGATGACTAGTTTAATTTTCAAAGTAATTTAAGTTAATATTGGTTGATTTATATAACAGTCCACTGAATAGATTTTCAGTTGTATATAAATTAAATAAATTAATGATTAAAAATTTTATTCTCGTTCATTTTACATTAATTTTTTTAACAATTAATACATTATGATGAATAGTACAAACATATCTTGGTTTGGCTAAACTGTGGCTTGGATAAAAATGTCAAACTAAAATAACAAGCGGTTAATGTACTAGAAATATGTCATACCAAAAACAGTTCTTGGTTTTCATTACCATCCTTACAGATTCTCTGAATCAAATAATGAAACATCACACATATAGTTCACTAATACTTTATTCGTCCTGTTTAATTTTAGATGTAAAGGTGCACTTCATTTGAACTACAATGTTTAACATAACATAAATCAACTAAGGACATATTTTAGAGAATAATTAAACACAGAACATTTTCTTCTTCTAGAAAACCTTTATAAGAAGCTTTGATCAACAAGAAAATCGTTATTTTACCACTTTAATCAAATTTGAATATTGTTTATGTATTTCACCTTGTCAATTTATTGTATCATAAATTAGATGATGATACTGGCCATAGTAGACATTTGAGAGATCAACTAATAGATCATTGTAACATAGTTATTATACATAAATTACCTCCGAAACAGGATTCTATGGCAATACAGTCAGTCACAGAAATCTGGTATTTACCTAGTTTAATCATTAGCATCGTGCTACTGCTGGTAAATCCATCATTTTCTGGTTAGCTAAGGATGTCTATGCATATACTGTGTTAGGATGCAAATTGTATTTTTAATCATGCGTTAGTTTCTGAAAGTTCATTTCTTTATCGAAATAATGCCCACGAATACATTATACATGTTTCAACCAGTCTGAAGTTTCTTTTAGTATCATATAAAATTATAAATCACAACAAATATAGTCTGATCTGTAAGTTAACCAGTCTTTGTCACATGATTACCATGGTAATTGATAGCATTCATCAAAAACAAAGCACAAGAACATATAATTATTGTAAATAACATTAGAAAATTACTAGCAGTAGAAAGAGATAATATATTTTGATGTTACACGTATACAGAATCTGAAATATATATGTCCAAATTCATTATCTAAACAAGTTACGGATCCCATTTATAAAACTTTACTACAGGAACTATATACCATGTGAACACTGAAATATAAATAAAACTATCCCAAGTAAGGATGATGCAAGAACTATTGTTGTAATTTTGAAAACAAGTCAAAAATATTATTTGAATGTAGTCAGTTTATTTTCCAGGGTTATTTCTCGTAAATTCTTATTCACTAAAAAACAAATTGACATAAAAACAAACCTTAATAACAAGTTGTGGTTCAGTGGTTTTAATATAAATCTATACAAAATATAATAAACGGTGAAAAATAAACGTGTTTTGTTGTTGGTCTTGAAAATGTCTAGAAACAGAATTAAATTATACGGTCTCCTCAGTTTTATTTGCTTTCTAATTGTTGTATTGTTGCACTTTTGTCAAAAAAATTTAGAAAGAAATGCTTGAATAAATAGAAAACAAGATGGTAGCTATTTTGAACAAATCTTCAAATAAAAGCAACTAATTTAAATAACAAATATTCTGGGATAAATACACTATTTATAAAGTAGACTAAATACTCCTTCACAGATGTATTAATATAAAGTCAGTTGCATATGTGATTAGCTTTTTATTTGATGTAGTCGAAGTGTAATAATAAGATAAACTGCGTAGGCTAATTAAAGTAAGCTTTTATTATTTTGTCCCACAGTAATCATTTATTGGAATGACAGATTGCTTTGTCTTTTAAAATAGATGTAACAACTCTAACTACTGTTTACTATATTAAGCTGATATTCTGTTTGTACTAATGTTAGTGTATGTTCAGTGAAAGCGTAAACTCCTAATATTTTTTGAGAATTAGTTAATATTTTAAAAATTTACTATTTTTCAGTTTTGTAACAAATGAGGTTGAAGTAAAAGAAATATTTAATCAATTTCAGCGTACGGTGTTCATGTTTTAGGATTTTTTTTAAAACTTTTATGAAGTCGTGAAGAGGTATGTAGGCTTCTTTTGAAAAAAAAACCTATAAAATGCGATGAAGATGCTATTTTCAAACTTATAAAATGTCTTTTAAAGTTAAACAACATAAAAAATTACTATTGGTCATTTCTACCTGACATATAGGATTTTTGAATACGAAAAACTACTAAAGTTTATGATTACACGGCTAACAATCAATCAAGTACTGTGATAGGGTCCTACCAAGCCTTTTTATGTTCCTTCATAAATTATTGCTAGACATCTAAAAATAATTCATTTCTCATGAATAAAGGCAAACTAAAAATGTTATAAGATATATTATTTCCCATCTCAGAAATTACATTCCCTTTATGATTGATCTGAAATCAGACAGATAAGCAATCACTTAAACCTTTATCAATATTTATGTGGAGGTTGTGACATATTCAAAGTACTGCTAATACAAGTTACAGACTAACAAATTTACATTAGAAAAGATAGGTAGAAGAACTGTTCAGTTTAAGCTTTCACACTTGAACTAACTCTGAACTACTACAAGGCAAATTTGAACAAACATCTTCGTATTGAATAATGCTTAAAAATCACTATAGTATCAGTATACCTACTCATTAAACAACTGTTTCATCCTAGTGTAGGTCTCCTCATTACTTAGTTGACTCAATTTTGCGTGTGAGCTGTTAATATATAGATAGTAGAGCGGTAGCTTTCGGTTTTCATCCATTAAGTCCCATTTCAAATCACAACTCACCTAATTTGCTTTGCAAAATCCTTGAGTATCAATCACCTTCACATACGTTATCATATTATATATCACTTAAGTGGATATTTTTAATGAGTATTAAAATATCTTAAATTGTCCTTTTCTATGAATAGTTGTTTCGTTCTTTCAGATCATTTGTCAGTTGGTTTTTTTAAATTGTAATTAATTAATTTGTTTCTTTTAAAGAACAATGTAGCAATAAGCTTGTAAATTTTGTTAGAAAAATGTCCAACTATTTGAAACACATTTATTTTTGACCTTTCTTTTTACATTGAGTGAATGAATGATTTGATATATTTCCAAAGAAAATTGGCGTTATTGTACTAAGTAAATTTTTATTTCACTCATTGATTGACGAAGAAATTTAATTTTTGAAGGCGGTATTGACCTTGAACTAGCATGCGCTACAGGAAAGTTTCAAGAAATATTTTAGAGGAGGAAACAATAGTTTGGACCTAGTTTTGGACATCAATTGTGAAGTCCTTTGCTGACAAATAGATTGAAACTTAGTTATAATTATTAATTTTGACATAAAACACAGAAATAAACCAGAATTATAAGAAATTATTTAAATAAAATGTCTGTAAATGTGTGAAAATAAAGGAATTATTTTAAGTGAAAAGAAACTAATAAAACCTGATACTTGTGTTAAAGATGGAATTAGAAAGTAAGAATTATTGTGTATAATTTCCTGTGGTGTATCGGAGAGAGAATCATTTTTACTAAATGAATGTTAATGTTTTTTATCAAAAATAGAAAGTAGATAGAATGTTTATTTCTTTCAATAAAATAATGTATAATCCAAATTTCTTAATCAATACAATGTAAATTAATTTTACATCTTCATATTTACCACTTGTATCGACATGCAAACTTTTCTGAAATGTAATCAACAGTTAATTGTTAGTGAGCACATGTTGCTCATATTTATAATTTTCCGTTATTCTATCCGTTTTGAATTTCTTAGTGCGAATGAACGCTTTATGGCATGATAGTTCTTGGGATCCTTCCTGGGATACATGGTGGCACTATAAGGAAGGCGTGATAGGAGGTATGCGTTGACTTGTATAATTACATATTTGTTTTTTTTTATGTTTGAAGTTGTATGGATGTTCAAACATCTTTTATATCATGGTCTTTTTAAATTGTACTCTTGAAATGGATTGAAATGAGCAAAAAATATCGTTAGATCATAATAGTTTTATTAAAATAGAAATTAATCTAAGCTGACCAGCTTTAACAAGAAATTAGTTTTTTAGTGTTTTGTTGTCTAACTGTTTTTGTCGTTTCATATTAACATTTCCATGAACATTAATCAACATTCGATTCCTTGTATTTTATTTCTGCATAACAAATTCAAAAAATATTTTGGTTCTTATACCGTTAGGTCCAAGTCACTGGGGACAGACAGCTTTTATGGCTATTGCCAATGATGTTTGGCCAGCTTGTTATCAGGGAAAAATGCAGTCCCCAATCAGCATCTCTACGAAACATTTACTATATGACCCTAATTTGGTGCCATTGAAAATTTCTGGTTCAGATAATCAAGTAAGTATTTATACAAGAATGAAGTTTTGAATAATTTATTTGAGGAAAAAGAACCCATTTTAATTAGATGAAAACTGAACGACTAAATTTTTCACCATTTTGGTAGGTTAAAATGAAACTGACATTATTTTTTTGGTAAAAGTGTTAAATTTACGAGCTCCAATAGGAAACGTTTTTCTGAAAAACGTTCTTCCGTTAAATCTTTCATGATTAGTTTGATAGATAAAAGCTACATAAAGAATCATATATTGAATATTGTTGGCGAAAATTTTAAGCATGAACTGATTAGTTTCTGCAATGCTTTTAAAAACTTAACAGCTTACTGAATTTGCTTTCATGCAAGACATCATAAATGAACGTAAAGAGTTTAGTCAAGAGTAAAATATTTGGTAAAAAAGGCAAATCAATTTGTAGTGATGGGTGTGTAATGAAAAAATGGATATAGATAATAACTATCCTAACATAGTGAAAAATACCAATCAGACCTCAAGAATTTGTAGTTTTACTGAAAGCTTCTTAAAGTAGGGAAAAGATCACTTCAGGATCATATATTCTGATTGCTTTGTAAATTGAGATCACTAGGTAGGCTTTAATCGGTTGAAGTTATCCACACCTAAGAAACGTCTCGCTTCGCATAACTCTGAGACTGACTTGAGCTATTTATTTTTTAAATAATACTTAAGTGAACATTTTGTACTATACACTGAAGATCGAATCAAGTTTCGTTAGTGTTAAATTTCATGTTTTTGAATCTTAAGTAAACTAACTTATGAATGTTCAATCAAGAGTTGAACTTTTTTCGATTTTATTTTTTTTTAATAGATTGACGTAGAGATAGTGAATACAGGACAAGATTTACAAGTGAAAATTCTTGATTCAACAGCATCAGTTATATTCAGTGAAGGACCATTAGTTTATAATTACAAATTCTTTGGAGCTTTAATCAAATTCGGCTCAAGAACAGATCGTGGTTCAGACCATCAAATCGATGGTATTGCTTTTCCAGCTGAGGTATTTATCAACTACTGAATTGTGAATATTTTACAATATTTCTCATCTTTATCTTTTAAAATGATTTCAGCTTTCTATTGATTACTTTAAAAATAAAAATCATGTAAAAACGAAATAGCATACAGTTTTTCTTATTATTACATTTAAATAAAGCAAGGTAATCAACGTAGCAGATTACTATGAATTCATTTTATTTCGCACTTTCTCATCAACTGCTTACAACCTGAGTCATTAAAAATCAGCCGACATACTTTAGATCATCCTGTCGGTAACGTTCTCATCAGTGAAGATTAATAATTAAACAATAGGGGCTATTTCATTTAGATAGTCATGTGAAAAAACTCCACTCCTATGTTACGTCCAGTTGTATCTAACAGTCTTACATGTTTGCGCCAAAGCACAAACAATGAAAGAACAGAAGAGAGGGTTAGTACCGGTTGTGTGAGCATATTTCACAGAAGCTGAGACTAACAGGGCTTCACGTTTTTGGTAGTGTAGTTGCGATTCGCTTGACAGTGATCACGAGGTTAATATCTCAAGGCCCATACAGATAATGAATAAACAAAGAACAATATAAATGCTACGGATCGCAGACGCAATAAGAAGATTTAAACGAGATCACTGCATTCAAAGAGAATCAGCTATCAATCTTGCTCTCCTATTGTGGTCTCATTCATAAGTGTTGATATTTGATTCTGTCTGTGACTTATGATTCCCAAGTCTTATTTTATTTGTCCTTAATGAATTTTGCTGTAATAGTCACATAATTATAACATCGATATGTTATTTCTAAATGATTCTACTCCTTATGTTCAACCTATAGATATTCATATTATTTATCTCTTATGGTTCTAAGTGCTCTTTTATGATGCTTCATCGATAAAATCTTTCCAATATTATGATGTAAATTATGTACACTGAGTTTTAATGATCAATACTATTATGTTTAGATTGTCAGTAGCTGACAAGAAACCGCAGAGTAAAATCAATTCATATTATTCTGCTACGTTAATCAGTCTTGCTTTATTCGAGTAAGAAAATGTCCGCTACAATATAAAATTAATTTTTCAGAACGTTACGTTTGCTTAGAGCAACAAATTTATGTTTCAATAACGCGTATTCACAAACAACGACTTTGATTTTGAGCAAGCACTCATACTCATTTTGAACTAGATTTTTCATCTGCTAATGATCAATAAGATTTAAAAACTCTAATATCATATACAAATAGCTTTTACACCATGTTAAAGTGTATTTCGTTTCCCGTAAATTATATAATTTAATTTTACCAAGTCTTAAATAATTCAAATACGCGATCTAAATGATGCCTACTAATGGTATTACGCATTTCTTATTTGTATATTTATTTCATAGCTACAAATGTACGCATACAATTTTATTTTATATCCAAACTTTTCTACCGCGCTTTCTAAACCAAATGGATTAGCTGTATTGTCAGTATTTTTTAAAGTAAGTTTATTTTGTTAAATTTTTGTTTCCAACAAAAAACGACATTATGCCGATGATTAAAACAAAAGAGATTTTCTTGTGCATATAAACGCTATGACAAATATAAATTACTGTCATAAAAACAATAGATTTAATTACTATTGTTACATTTATTTAAGAAGCAAAAGTTCTATTAACTTAATAGCATTCTGTCAATCTAAATATGTGAAAATATGAATATTAAATTGTCAATAGTTGTATAACTAAATGTACACATTATAAGACGCAGTTTAAGTTATAAATGTTCAGTCTTTTCTGTGAATTTAATGAAATGAAAAACTAACGAAAGAGACTGTAATATTTCCTAATGAAAGTGGCATGATAGTTTCCTGAATAAAGTTAGTGAATCTCACCCCTTTCATAGGCTATTCAAATACTACTTCAACTATTTCGGTTCAGGCAATCCTATACTATCACTGGGCTTCAGATGTAAAAAAATGTATCTCGAAACAAACTATCTCAATCAATGTCTAGCACATGAGTTACATAAATCAAAACAGATTGATTGATAAGTACGGGCTGCTCTTATACTTTTAGCTCATGATAATCTTGTATGATAGACTTAATATTCAAGACTTTGATTATTTTTAAACAAGAATACATATTTGACTCAATAAACTAGTCAATAAGACGATAGATCAAAGTGATTTGTACAAGCAAATTAAATTTAAATGTTTACAATTTCAAGATCTGTTACGACGACTAGTTATTTCGAATATATAAATATGCTGAATACCTATGAAATATGATTTAAAATTAATCTATAATGCCTATAATTTTATTCGTCGTATTTATGAGTAGTTAATAATGAATGAATCATTACATTGCAAAACTTACAGAATAAAAAAAATGACCAATTACAACAAATACATTTGCAAAAGTCAATTTGACATAGATAAATTTTTGGTATCCACTTAAATTTGCATATTCAGAGGAAACAGTATTGTTAAAAAAATAGTTGTATGGCTGATAAAAAATTATTTTAGAAAGTTTTAATGTATAGTTGATTGTGAAAACATGAATTTCGAATTATGACGTTATAATGTTATTTGTTATTTTTTATTAAAAATGTAGTCACGTTGAATTCTCTCAAATACATTAGAAATAAGTTAATGGGACGTAGATTTTTGACAGAAATTATGTTTATCAGATAATGGTGTATTATGATACGACATGAAAACAAACGCAATAGACAACAAAAAGACTCATTTGAATCTAAAATCAATGTTTATTTAATTTGCTATAAATAAGCTAGATAAATAATGATATGGTGAATAGCTATCACTTAAATGAAAAAACAGAATGATTCATGCACTCAGGACTTTCGTGAATTTAATTAAATCAAGGGAAAATTTTATTACTTACACTTTCAGAACATCGATATTCACTTAGTAAAATAAATAAATAGTAAGTAACTTTAATGCACACCGATTATATTAAATTACATTAAGTTCCGTACTAGTTTTGGATATGTGGTCTGTCCCATAACTTAAAACTTTGGCTTTGGTTTAATGTATTAAAAACCCAGTTGCATTCATCATTCTCTTGATAAGTTTTTTTTTAGTAAAATGAGCCATCTAATTTATAAATTACCATGAATAAAATCTGTCAAACGCTCGCACAAAGATAGGAAGAAAACTACTAATTAACTAAAATAAACTAGTGCAATAATGGAAGTTAAATATGTTAAACTAATGAATCTGTTAGTTTTCAATAATTAATTTCGGTAACTTTCAGATTGGTGACCAATCTTCAGCTGACTTGGAAGCGTTACTATCCACAGCAGAACAGGTTCAACTGAAAGGTATGTTTTAGAACATCTCTTTTGATTAAAACCAACAAGCATATTATATTATAGACAGAGATAAATGGTGGCCGAGATTGGAATCCACAAAGCGCGTTTCGTTCCATTTGGGTTTCATCAACTATGTGTGTCTGCATCCCAGAATTGATATTCACTCCAAGACTCGAATCCGAAACTATTTGCTTCAAACGGCATCGCGTTATTCACTTAGTTACTGAATACAGATAACCTCTTATTTTTGCTATGAGGTTAATTGGATTCACCCATTGATGCCTAGGAGTAAACATCAGCTTCAGGATGCACACACATCCAGGTGATGAGTACCAAATAGGATGAACCACGTGTCCTGGATTCCGATGCTCCTCATTATCTATCTTTCCTAATAAAGTTTGTTACTAAATAGCATTATCAAATCAATCTGCACACGATGCACATATGCGAAAGTGAGTGATCGTTTGTAGTCCTAAACAAAAAAGTAGCGATTTAAATATGCAGTACAAATAAATTAGACTATATTATAGTTTGAAAATTAATAAAAATAAAAAATCATCAAGTTAAATTGCTATGTCGAATTGATCAAGTTATATAAATCTACCATTTCATCCCATAGCTCTAACATTCGGCTGATGAAATCGTTTATAGACATATCACTAACTAATTGCAACAGATTTGATAAGAATAAAGTTTAGTTTCACCAGCTATATGCTCAATAGGTTGTAAATAATGCTACATGAACTATGAATTCTGTTGATATTTTCGTCTGCCTATTTGATGAAATTATTTTATTAACTTAGGTCATCTCAGTTTAAGGTCATTCTGTCAAACGAAGTATTACCGGCTTATATAAACAGTTGTTAACAACCTATAACCGAATTCGTTATTATGGTGTATTAACTGCGTATTAAAATGGCGTATACAAGCAAGTTAGTAATACTCCATAAACCTTTAAAGAATCAGCTGGTAATTATGTAGGCAATTTCTGGTTTACAAGTTCACACAAATACTATTATCATTACTAATATTTGAAAAGTTATGGAATTCAGGTGAAAATTGACAAGCACCTATTATACCGAAGAATGTAACTTTCATTTTGATGCTGTTTTATGTACAATAAATTAGCCAGCTAGAAAGTCGTCTCAAATTTCTTTTATTTCTCTATATTTGGTTAAACAAGAACATTCATTACTTTTTCGTTACTTTTTGAATTTTTCTAAATTGTATCACTGATTGAATTAAATTGAATAAAGGACAATCTAAAAGGCTTCATGGTTTGTTGTTGGATGCTATTGTACCATCCACAATGCAGTATATGACATACCCAGGTTCATTACCATTCCCAGCCTGTTATGAGACTGCAACATGGATTTTATTGAATCAAGCAATTGTAATTACAGAAACTCAAGTAAGACAATATTCAGTCATAACTTTTAAACTATTTTTAATCGTTTTTTTTATATCATATAATATAAATTATCATAGCTACTGAGTGCATAAGAAAAACGTAAGCATTAATATTCTAAACGGAAGAAGTTTATTCAATCCCTTAACTGGTCTAAGTTGGGCAAACATTGATGTTCTGAAGGCTCTTTTGTACCTGTGAAAAACTCTTTAGCTGTATTCATCTATGACCTTGCTACCAGAAATCGAATTCAGGATAATCATTTTGTATTTTGGTTGCGTAGAGTATGAAATATTTCAGCAAGTATTGATATATCTGACATATGTTTATAGTAAAAAATATGTATACATCAGTTGGCAGAGATAATTTTATCCAGATATTTCATTCTGAAGAGAATTTGATCTCCAGATGATTATCTACTTAATATAATTAATTTGTTTGAAATTATTATGTATGATTTTATACTTTATATTTTTAGAAATGTACTGATCACCAGAATAAGATATCATCATTCAAACGAAAGATTGAATATGTATTTTCTTACGTATAACTGTGCATGAAAAGCATACATTAATTTAATGTACTCACCATTATAAAAATAGTTTAAAAAAAAGAGACTAGAAATGAATATCCAAAAAGCAGGATGGCAAACGAAATCATATGAAATCATGTAGTCAAATTTTTTTAACGAGAACTACTAATCGCATAAAACTAATCAGAATTTTGAAACACTTATCTTTATCATCGTTTTAACACGAAATATAGCATATTTCGATTAGATATTCTTTTGCATATCTTAATATTTTGGCTTGGTCATTCTGGTTTACAACATTTCAATAAAAGAATGTTCATACAGTTATTTTTATTTCATAAATATAATATCATTGAGTTAATACTATTTATTGGTTTCTATCTTGTCGCATTCTTGTTAAAGCTGAAATCACTTCGTCAACTTCGAATAGCACCATTTCGAGGATCAGGCAGCATGGCTGACAATTATCGTACCATTCAAAAATTGAATAATCGGTCAGTTCGAACAAATATTGATTTTATAAAAAGTGTAAGTATATTTGTTTGCTTTTGTGAACAACCATTTCTTAATCCGTTAGAAAATAAGGTTTTGCACAAATTACTTCATCTGTTCAGAGATAAAAAGTCTAAGTAATGAACACTTAATATTGCTAGTGATTGTGATAATTTGACATATTTAGATAATATTCTGTCGGATGGATTTTTAAATATCTACCGTCTTTTCTGAGTCTTTGCTGAATAAAAATCAAGTTATGTTTGTACATATGCTACTAAATACAACAGATAGAGGGGAATTTATCAACAAATTGAAAAAAATACTAAACTACAATTACTATAGCGAGTAATTACTCTCTTAGCTATTCAGCTTCTGTCATTCTTTTAGAAACGCAGGTAGGATAGAGTTAGGAAATGCGATCTGTTGACTTATTATTTCTACTCCTTTCATATTAGTTTCAGAACTATTAGTTAGTAGTAGTTGTTGTTTGAAATAGACATAAAGTGAAAAAATATCGTCATCTAAGTAACTTTCACAAGCCCACTATTGCGTAACTGACTTTCAGTGTCTACATTTTGTTAACAGACCATGACAATACACCACTTCAAGTACTTTGACTATTCAACAGTAGTCTATTTCGTTATAGACTAATAATTTTGCAAATAATGTCAACTGTAGATACGATTGTACAGTTTATATAATTGACATAATTAAAAAAAGAACATTTTTGCTAAATTACCTTCTTGAATGATATATTGGATCTCTGTTGCTGTTTAGATTTATTTTTAAAATCTCCTGAATGAAAGTAGTAGTGAGCGTTACGTTAACTCTAAATAACACAGTAATGACAGGTGCGTCAGTACATTATTTCATTTATATAAAATGGTAGTTTTGCGTAGAATGCAAATTTGAAAGAACTTGTTTGTGTTTTGAAAGCCATTTTTGTATGACGATTTACATAATATTATACTGTTTTTATTTCAAAGCAACCCTACTGTTCAATGGAAGCTAGAAGGACATATTTTGGTAAGATAATGAGTAACACTGAAAAGTATTATTGTTTTTTAACCGCATTATTGATTTAACTAACTACAAAAAACACTCTTTTGATGTTTAAATAAAGCGTTACACAAGTATTCTTTAAACCGAATACAATTAGTTTCGAAACAGATAGAAAGCAAAACGCTTATTGTCATTAGAGAAAATAGCCACAGTGAAAATGAGCTTTATTTGTGTACACAATTTATGTCATAAAGTTTGCCTATTCTGAATTGGTGACGCAAAGGATAGTTAAAGAAAATATAATGTGGTGGGTGTACTTTTATGTCGAGCCCACATGGCTTGCCCAGCCTTGAAACAATCCAATCAATTCATTGTGCACAAGTTACCTTTTGACCTTATCAATCATTCGCTCGTATTTTGGTTGTTTTTGCTTAAGTGTTTGAATGTGCGTCTTACTTCTCCTATCCCTATGTCTCACTTATTCAGTCTGACTATAAATTCTGAGCCATATTTCATCGCATGGAGTCGGCTCGCTTCGCTCTACATGTACACTTTTCATTCGCATGTCTGTTTGCTTGAAATAAATTCATCCGACCGTATTCGCATTTGGCTTCGTATTACTGCCGTCACACAAACGGGGTTTGCCTAAGTATGATATACGGAAACTGGAGGAGAAATTTATTTAATTACATATTTACCTTTTCATAAATAAAGGAGTTTAATCGCGGGTCACTAAAGTAGTGAGTCCTACTTTGCGTTTAACGCAGCCGATGAAATGGTCAACTCGAAATCGAACATAACACAGCCACCTTTACATAAATTGGTGAGCTTTGAGTTAGAATACAACGCGCCTACACCTCTAGAAGAAATAAGTAAGAGTGAACTTGATTTGCGGATATGACCAAAATCAACTCTAAATGTTGCTTCTCAATACACGACTTGCTGTGATTATAATTATACCGAAAGGTGTTTGAGGCCAATTATCTTTAGTAATTTATCATACATCTTATGATATTGGTAAATACTAATAAATGGTAATTTTTATTTCATTTCCTTTTTCACGTGTTGATGTAACATTTTACAACGAACTGGATTTCTGCAATCATAATGACTATCAAATGGTCAATAGCACCTTCATTGCCATAGTTCAACATTCCAAACATTTTCTCAACTTATTTTTATTCTTGCTTACATAAAGAAGTGATTTTCATCTGACAATTTTTACGAATGAACCAGTAATAACATAACTTTGTATACATACAATCGAGGAACAACTTGTATAACTATGATTTTCTAATCTACCTCAACATCAGGGACTTGAAAATATATAAGTATTTTAGTGTGATGAAATATGTACCATATGCATATTACGTTTTTTCCCCTGTCAAATTCCATCTCCCATGAACGATTTCATTGTAAATATGTCCTTTTGCAGATTTCCGTGTGTACATTATTTAAGCATGTTTTTATCTGAAACTTCATGTAAATATTCATTATTATACATTAGAAAAATATATTTATGAAACATTAATTATAATCAACCTCTTTTGATGCTATTTACCATTGCAAAAACTAAGGGGGGAATAAAAACGTTTCGAAATGTTTACGGCAATATTTCTTCAAGAACTAAACCACATTATATAATTGTATAAAAATTAACCGGTACGAAGTATTTGTACCGACTTTTAAAAATACGTATCTGGAACTTTCTTGATCAAAGTAACACTAAGCTAGACAGTTATCGCTTTGTTTCTATGACACCATGATGTATAACCGTGAGAATGCATAACGATTACAATAATCTAGTTATATTTACATGAAGTGATAGTTTACTGTTTCATAAATTGTAAATTTCTCTTAGATGTCATCTATGAAAGGACGTGTAGTTAAAGCAATTTAGTAGAATGTTTTTAGAGAACATGTTTAGAGTTGTTTTACCTGAATAAGATTTGACAGATTAGCATTTTATTTAGTGAAAAAATATTTACCTGGAAAGTTCAAAGCAGTTTAGAACGTGGTCTTATGAGTTTAATTCTGGAACGTTCCAGCTTTGAAGCTTGAGTTTTGACAAATTTACAGTGAAGGATATTTTCGTTAAAAAATGAATTGCAAAATAGTGATTAGGCTTTCTGTTTCCTTAACACTTCATGAAACTAACTAGGAGTATAAAAAACATCTAATTATGTCGCTGACCATCGACGAAAGTCGAGGATATTTATTTGGCTGGATGTATTTCATTGACTTCTACTACTGCACTTCTATATTTATTTAAATAAGAAAGGTTTATTTCGTCAATCTCGCATAACGCTGTTTTATTAGGAATCCTGAAGAAATATGGAAATTTTGGACTGTATCTGATTTTGTTGTTACATGATATTTGAAGTTTTATTAAATGAGGAAAAAAATACATCTGAATGTTTGAAGACTGATATATTATTATAACTACTATTAAACTTTCTATCATATCGTTATATGCAATAGTATAATGTAGTTCTTATTTTTTAGGAAAAAGTGGTAGAAAATCAATACCAATTAGTTAGTGATGAAACAATTTAGCGATATAATCGTTAGTTATTTACATAATGTTCAAATTAAATCTAAGATGAACTTTGATAATCAGTTAATTGATACAAATAGTTACATAACAGTGGGAGTACAAATTGATATCGGATGCAGACAGTTTTTGATCAGCGTAATTAGATAATTTGCAAATCATGATAAATGGTATGATGTTATACTGTAATAAAAAATTTAAAAACCACTGTCAATGATTTTTCCTTATTTGAAGTCGGTGATTTCTGCTGAGAGTCTATTATTTACTAAATTATTTGAAGGAATTACATGAATCGAAGATTGAATTGAATTCTTGTAAAAATTGATGTATTTCGTTAACTGATTCACAGGATGGACAAAATTTGGATGCTACTGTGGAGGTGTAATTTATACTTGAAGAACTTGAATATCAAAATTAATTAATTAATTGTTATGCCCCTTGATGTATCTCTGACTAACTTACAATTTATGGTTATTATCATCAATAATTTAAGTATTTTCGATAATATTTTCAAACCCCGTTGAACACCTTCCTAATATTTTGGCTAAGTTATGAAAATATTTCATTCTTTTATACTGCTGTTAATCAAAACTATCACTATTATTATGATTATTTCGAAAGTGTCTTTATATTTACAATAACTTCACTCACGTCGTCTAAGTAGCCATCTAGTTGCCACATATCTAATGTTCTTATATCTACTTATACCCTATTAAACGTAGTTTTTTTCTTCAAATCCAAACTACGTCAGACATTTCTCATTGTGTAATGTGTTTCACATAATGCATATAAAATTATTTATGAAAGATATATTTATTTCGTAATACTATGGTGCAGGTGAAAACCGTAGAAGGGGATTCATTTCATCAAAAATAATTTTTCATTCTTCTTATCTTACATCATAATTTCTCACCAATAAACTGAAATATAAGAGAAGAAAAAAACAGTGAAGAAAGCTAATGTTTTGCTTAGACAAGCATTTTTATTTGTATAACTTAATTCAATATTTTTCTTTTACAACAGATAATCAACTAAAATGGTTACGTTCGACTGGATATTTGCATCAAAATTAATTTGTCTGTTTAAGTCTGACTTGTAGATAGTAGTTTTGACTAGTTGAATGATTTTTATTTTTTTGAAGATGCAGTCAAATAGTGCCAAATATATGACTATAGAGATATTTTACACTTATTCTACTAGTTAGCAATAAGAAATCTATGTAAAAGAATGTCATATTTTAAACTAAAAAAAGAATACATTTTCCATATTTTTATTAAACTTGCAGACTGAAAATCTGTATGGAGAGAGATTCAACTTGATTTACTTATCTTAAAAAGTAAGAAAATAATTTTGTATCGATTTCTAAGCTCAATAAACAGTGAAATTATGAATACTAAATTTCAAAATGAATTTATTTCTAACCTAATCAGTGATTTTATCAAACATATATTTCGGTTATTTAAATTAACGCGTTTCGTGGAGTATAATTCCCACAATGTATCCATGATCGTTTTCTGAACACGGTATTCTCAAGAATTTCGTTAAATATTTCAGTTTTGAATTTCAGTCAACTTTTAGCAGAAAACAGTAACAATTCAGTACATTTGAACGAATGGGATGTGAAAAACAAATCAGAAAATCAACTTTCCCTTTGTAAAAACGTAAACATTTGACAAGGTATCAACTTGTCAGCATAGTCTACAAACGCCCTTGGATTTACTCTTTTATTTTTTATTTACTTTATTGCAGAATTCTCGGTATATTTTAGTTTATATAGAAATTGCATTGACAATATAGTGATCATTTGTATTTGTAAAAGCTGATGGAATCTAATCAATATATGTCAAATACAATTGTCATCAAGCATTATTTCTAAAACAATTGTTTTGAACGAGGAGTTTTGTTTGTATGTTTTTATTGAGATGCTATATGGATACTAGTCACAATGAACTTGATTTATTGTCGAATAATAATAATAGGCAAAAATAGGTAACATTAAAAACTTAAAAATATAAAAATTTGAATATAAGTTGTATGTCATTTTATTTTTTTGGAATGATTCTTTTTAACATCCTATACAACTTGTCAGTTAACAGTTAAAAATGCGTAGAAAGCAATGAACGATAATATAATACTTAACCAATGGAATTCGTCACAGATGAATTGTGATCATGACACAGTCACTTGAATAACTGGATTTTCAATAGAACCTACGAACTTCTCAAGCATCACTGATTATGAGCGAAATTATATAGACAAGCGACTACTGGTTTCCTCATAAATAAATAATTATGTCCTAATGATAGGTTAGATTATTTACATTCAGTTTTTCCCGTAAAATTCGTTTTTGATTACTATCATTCTTGAAGTACGAACACCATGAAGAAAATTGATTTACAAACCAGGTGATTTTATATGACCAGTTAAGCACTTATTTTTTCGACTTCAATGCAGTAATATCCATTTATCATAGCTGGGTTTAACTGTAACATTTTGGAAAATTAAAAATCAAATTTCTTTATCCTATTATTTCAAAAGGAATCGGTAATACATTTGACAAATTATATTATATAACAAAATTGCGTGATTATATTTGTTAAATCTGAACTGAAACAAGAGATATACCTTATCTACTTAGATTTCTCTATTACTGGTAAACCATGTCTAAACCAAATTGTTAAATACATTTCATTTCAATAGAACTAAGCGTGCGTTTCATGTTCAGTTAAATTCTAGGTGTTAAGAATACATAACTTTATTAAAAGTTACTTATTCTGTTGTAAATTGTGAATTATTTTCATCAGATTTTCATACCATTGAGCTGAAAAGTTTCTGATTGTTTTTGAAATGATCATTAATTTAAATTAACAAATTAATTAATAGTGTACTAGTCTAGTTTGTGGTTTTTATTTTGACAACACAGAAATAGCCGAATTAACAGAAGTGACTAATATTTGCAAAAAAAGGAACCATTTTTTTGTTAGATTATTCTAATTCTTACTAGTCACCACAAAAATTAATTAACATGTTGTTGGATGAGATTACTAATTGAATTTGTTTTTTTATCTGTTTGCAAACTGTGTAGAATATGAACAACTATATTAAGACTAATGTAAATACACTTAAGGAGTCCTCAAACATTGTTGATAAATGTTAGTATACTAGATATAATTTCATTATTGAAGCATAATGGGGAGAATATTTAGCAGTCAAAAAACATTCATCAAATAACCTAAAAAAGTGTGCTTGCTCCTGTGTTCTCAGTTGAATAGACTAGGAATGACTGTCGTCACAAATTTATATTTATTATGAAAACCAATTAAACCCGGTAGATCTTTCTTTGGAACTCCACAAGATTTTACAAGCAGTAGAAGATTCATGAGATATAATTCTTAACATTCTGGTGTTACGATAAGCGTAATATACTTATGATCGTGAGGTCATATTTTTTTATCCACGACTTCAGTATAGTTCAAACTAAGTTCAATGTTCAAACAATATCATTTATAATTCACAGAGTATTTATGAACTACAGTAGTTAAATGTTTCAAAGTTAAACATTTGAAAACGCCTTTAAATAAGTGAGACTAAATATACAATGTAAAGAAGAATAATAATGTTTTTTCGAGGAGCCTGGTGGTCACTTGAGTCATTTATTTTTGAATAGTGATAAAAATTTCTTGCGAGATTGACTAGTGATCGTGTGGTAGTAGGAATCGACTAAGATTGTAAATACGGAATGGTTCCTTTTTAGCTTAATTATTAAAATATAACCCTCCGACCTTGACATCACTTTGTGATACACAAAGAAAAATAAATACAATTCAGATGTTTATTTCAATACGTGAGGAAGACAACCGATAGATATAGCACTAAATTAATTAACAAGTGTTCAAAATATATAATGAAGTGTCACTGCCGGCAGAATAAAGT